AAAAAAAATGCAAAATTAATTTAGTTTTTTAAATTACACTTTTACCCTTAAAATATAGCCGTTTTATAGCCGTTGGAGGGGTCTTTTTCGTCATTTTCTTTCCCCATTTTTTTCTATAAATTGGCCCTAAACTCTCATATTTTTCTCACAACTCAAATTCTCTCATTCTCTCATATTCTCTAATCTCTATTCTCTCAATTATTCATTTATTCTCTTAATCTTTTTGTTATCAATTTGCTCTTATTTTAATTTTTATTAGTTTTTGCAATTTTCAATTCATATTTCCAATTTTCCAAATTCCAAATTCCAATTTCCATATTCCAATTCTCTTTCTTTAATTTTTATTCTTCTACATCAATTTTTTTTCAACTACAATGGATAGATATTTCTTCCCCTTAATTTCAATGATGAAGAAAACTACTATCCTAGTCCTAGTCCCGCTGATTTACTATGAATACAGGAGATTCAAATAGTCCCGCTGTCCCAATCCCAGTCTCAGAACGATACACCTCAAAATATGCCGTCGATTCCAACAGCTCCCGGTGGTTCTAGAAGTCGTCCTCGTAATTGTGTCCTCGTCCAACTTCATCTCAAGCTGAGGCGGGATCACAACTGCCGTCGAAAGCGAAGACAGACACACATCAGACGTTTGGGCGCATTTCGACAAGTTTACGAGACAGAAAATGGCGTTCAAGTCAAGAAAGCAAGATGCAAATATTGTGCAAATGTTTATAAAGCTGATTCAGGTAATGGTACTAGTACTTTAAAAAGGCATGCTAATAAACATATTAATCAACATGAAAATAGAGAAAGTAATCAAACTCAAAAACTAATATGGGTACTACTTGGCGTTTAATTCGATGTATATAGGGAACAGTTAGCTTTATATATTGCTGCAGCTGATCAACCTATAATATGGCCGAAGATAAATATTTGAAAGATTTGTTCAAAATTCATTTTTTCCAGGATTTAAAAGTTATTCTAAAACTGCCACTAGAAATGATTAATAAAATGTGTTAAAAAAATGAAATTAGAATTAAAAAATAAATTTCATATTGTTATATAGTGTGGCTCTAACTGCCGATATTTGGAGTGGTAGAGCTAAACAAGATTATTTGTGTACTAGTCATTATTTTGATAATGAATTAAATTAATAAATCTTTATTAGAATTTAGATTAATGGAGTGGATCATAGTGGTTTGGAAATCTATAGTAAAATTGTTGAAGTTTTAGAAGATTATGATATATTGATAAAGTGATAAGTTTACTTTAGAATGCAAGTTCTAATAGTAAAGCTATAGATTTTTTCAAAATAATTATCCTTATATAACAATTTGAAGTTTTTTCACAACGTTGTGCATGTCATGTTATTAATTTAATTGTGAAAAGTGGTATGAAAACAATTAAAAAAATATTGATAGAATAGGGAATCTTTAGTTGGATTACTGGTAGCAATAAAGAAAATGCTAAATTTCAAGAAGCTTGTATAAAATCAAATATGTCTCCTAGAACTTTTGCATTAGATATGCCTGTTACATGGAATAGTACTTATTAATGCTTGATTCATATTTACCTTATGCTAATATAATTAGTTATTTTGTAGTAAATAATAGAGGTCCTCATTATTTGGTTGAAAATGATTGGAAGATATCTAAGTATTTCATTTTTTCTCAAATGTTTTTACCAATCCACTTTACAACTTTCTGGTATGTATTATCCTACTAGTCCATTGGTAATACATACAATATAAAAATTTCCGAGTTATTTACAAAAACCAGAGACAATGAAATTTAAATGCACCAATAAAGGCAATGAATTTTTTTTTTTTGAAAATGGGAACTCATTCCTTTTCTTTATTGTTTAGGTGCTATATTTGATTCTAGAATTAAATTAGCACGTTTAGAAAATGGTTTTGACAATTAAGTGAAAATTTACAAACCGAATCATTGTCAATCAAATAGGGAGGTAAAAAACAGTCTTTTCGAAGTATATTTCTAAAATGAAAACGGTATGGGAACCCGCAGTCGCAAAGAAGCGAAATATCCAGAGAAGTTGTAGCAGAGAAGAAACAGCAAATGAAGACTTATACTCTTGGAATGCACTGAATAGGCCGAGAAGAGACCCGAATCCGAAGCACAGCCGTAGCTCCTCTTCAGAAGCACCACCAACAACAACAACAATAACAACAACAACAACTAATATACTGTCCTCCATGGAGTCGAGAGTAATGAACTTCAACCATTTTGGCAACCCCCGAAATGTTTTCAACAGGTCACTTTGATATTAGAGTATTGGAGAGCCAGAAAATGTATTTTTCCGGTATATCAAGCTTGCCTTGGATGTTTTCGCTGTTCCTGTCTCAACCGTCTCGTCCGAACAAACATTTAGTACAAGTGGAAGGATTTTAAATGAAAGGAGGACTAAACTTGCTCCAAAAATGATTGAAGTCCTCACATGTCTTCAAGATTGGGAACGATCGCGCCATCAAGATCAATACGAGGTTATCGACAATACTTTAGTAGAATCGTTTCAATTTTGTAATATGAGTACAGATGAGGGAGGTCCTAGTGAACCACCCCCAAATTAGTTGTTTTGTAAAATGTAATTTGTAAATTAATTGTCAATTATTGCACTCTTTTTTCTTTACCAAGTTTTTCTCCCATTGGGTTTTTCTTGGTGAGGTTTTAACGAGGCAATAATTGTTATAATTTCTTATTTTATTTTTGATAAAGGAAAATTTTTCTTATATTATAATTTTATTGTATCAAAATTGAATTAATATTTGAAATGTTAACAAACAAAAAAATTGAATTGAATTATTGATATTTGAAAAGTTAATTAAAAACAATTATATTTATAATTATTTATTTGAAAAGTTAAATAAAAAAACAAAAAAAAAAAAAAAAAGGAAAATCGGGCTAACCCGGCCCATCCTGCCACCTAACCCGGCGGGTTAGGGCTGGCGGGCCGGGCTGGGCCAGCCATTTTGAAGAAAATGGTGGGCCTAACCCGGCCTGCCTTTGCTGGCAAGCGGGTTAGGCCCGACCCGCCAAACAAAGTAACCCGCCACGGGCCGGGCCGGGCGGGTTACTTTTCCACCTCTATACCAAACTAAGTTTTTTATGTTCATTTCCAGCATATATATTATTATTATAACATATCTATTGGGTTGTGGTTTCTAATGGGAGAAAAACTTAGCAAATGAGCTAAATAATGTCTTCTTCTCAACAAAATAAGCTTTGCTAATATTGGATGGTGTGAGGACTTATTGATGACAGAGAAAAATTGAGAGAAGAGAAAATGAATAATGCTTCACCCACAACCTCTTATCACAAACTTTGTCTCACAACTTCAACGTGAAAATTCACAATTGATCAGTTGCAATTTATCAAATGGGACCTAGGTGGGATCCATTACGAGCTGACTAATTGCAAACTATCACGCCGGGGTTGTGAGAGGAAATTTCTGAGAAGAGATTGTGGGTGTAGCATTTTCCAGAGAAAATAAGTGTTAGGCTACGTGTTAATTGGAGAAGAAAGGGCAATTTCGTCCAAATCGACTAACCGAGATAAGATATGTGGAATAGATATTTGGTAAGAGATTTTTTTTTTTTTTTGGCTATTTTCAATTCAATCTCTCAATTAGGGATATTTAATACAATTTCTTTAAAAAATCACATCAGTATTTTAAGAAATTAATCCATCGATAATAATATCTTAAAATTATTTATCGGACTAGACGATACAAACGGCAGGAATTCTTCAGATTATCAATCAAATATGAAAGTTTTGAACATAATTCAAGAATTTCGCACTAAGGTAATGATATTACAATTGTTCTTGCTCTTTCACATTACCATTAATGGTGTGTTTGATTCATATAATGTTTTATTATATGGATATGTTATATTAATGAAAAGATGAATCACCCTGAAGGCTATTGGGAATGTTTAGGAAAATATATTATGTTATATTTATATGTTTGGTTAGGAGGATAAATGGGTGGATATGTTATATAAATTACTAAATTGCCTTCATTTCTAAATATTTATATAATATTATTTTTTTGAATCATTTCTTTTAACTCCCCTACATTTGAAATTTTGCTAAAACACCCAAGCTATATAAAACTTTAATTTGTAACAAAATCACCCCACCCACCCCAAGCCACTGCTGACAGCCAGCCGCCGTAATGGCGCACAACCAGCGAGATCTGGCCGCTCGTTTGCTGGTAAGTCCGTTTCTGGCTAGATCTGAAACAACCTTACCGATGCACGACCGATTAGATCCCGCCGGTCATATACCATTACGGTGACTACTACCTGCGGTTGGCGGTGGCCTTGGGTGGCTAAGGGTATTTTGTTAACTTTTAAACTTTTTTGTAGCTGGGGTGTTTTAGCTAAATTTTCAAATGTAGGGGTGTTGGGTAATGGTTATTTGGTAGACATTTGAGGACATGTGTATCCAAAATGGTATTTAATTAGGGACAAAATAAGTATAAAAATCATATTACCTTGATAATCTTTTAATAACACCTACTAGGAGGTATCTGATTATCCCTATATTACCAACTATAAACACTATTTATAATAAAAAATACATGTAATATTTTATTACATATAAACCAAACAACAAAATTTTATAAAATAAATAAAGATTACCCCCATTATCTTATATGACCTCGAATCAAACGAACCCTAAAATGAAAATGAATTATACTAGTCGTCCTAGAAATAGCTGATGAGTGTTTAACTGGGCCAGAGCTCTAAGCCCATCACAAGAACCGCTTACGTCCAGACCCGAGGCGAGAGGAAGACAGACAAGGAGGAAGGGATATACCGTAAATGGAAAGAAAAATTAAAAAAGATGTTGGGACGATGAAGCGTATTGTCTACACTTTTTACAGTAGAGAGTTGAGTTGAGTCCGAGTTGCCGCATTTATTCCGGCTTGTGGTCGTCTCGCTTTCCCTCTCTATCCCAAGCATTCCTATATTTCAAACGATGGTAAAACCCAAACAACAAAAGTCCAAACTCAAGAAACCGACCCACGTAATTTCGCTTCTATTCTACCCTTATATTTTTACCTTTTATCTTCTCCATTTCTTGTATATTTTTTTTTTTCTATGAATTATGCTACAAATTTCTTAGCTCTATACCGCTTACTATATCTAGATATTTTAATTTATGAATTATAAATAAATTGTGTATAATCTCGTTTCTGTTGAAAAATGTATTGTATGTAAAAAAAAAAACCTTAATTTTATGTTTGTGCTGTTTTTTGTTTAGAATGAAATACTGGGCAAAACATATGTGCTTTAAATGTCGACTGCTTCTGTTTATATATTAAGTCTTCTATAATGCATATGCGTGTGAGGAAGATTTGTGCTTCAAATGGCCTACATGCTTTGACTTTGTTACTTGTTCATGATGCAATTAGAGGATAGTTACATAATGTTACTTTTAAGAATTTTCTTTAAAATACATACCAATGACATGAGCGATTGAGCAGAGAGTTTTGGTGTAATTGAGAGGGGTAGGTGATTTTAAATGTACTGAGCCGCTGTTTTCAAGGATGTTGGAATGCTATGATTGTGGATTGATGTTGTTAGGCGATGAAATGTAATGTGAGATTCACTTTTTGATATTGACACATTTGGCTATCAACAATGTTAAGGGTACATTTGTTTGGAGGCTTTGAAATGATGGCAAGGTTAAACACAATAATTATTTGGGAAAAATTAGTTTTTTGAGCAAGAAAATATCTGAAAAGACATTAAACTTTCCGAGAAATAGTGGAAGGTTTATTAATGAGCCATAGATTTTACCCTTCATTTGACTAATGATGAATCAGTTTTAGTTTATTCTACATAAAAACGGGTAGCTCAGTGTTTTGGATGATTTTCTTTTACTATGTATATTTTTATTTTTGCTAAGTTGTTTAATTCCAGCTGTGCTGATTATCTGTTTCAGAAGGTTATGAAAACAAAGGGAAAGCAGGCTGATATTTCTCAGTTTCGTGCACAGCTTGACACATTGGGCCTAAAAATCATCCAAGTCACAGCTGATGGTAATTGTTTCTTCAGGTCTGTTATAGGAAGATCTCATTTGACATTACTCATTATAGAAACTTTTTTTTTTTTTTTTTTTAAATTTTCACAGTATCATTTAAGGGATTTGAATGAAATACTATTTTGACAAAATATAAAATAATTAACTGATAAACAAAAAAATGAAAGAAAGAAAGAAAAAAAGTGTGCTGTCCATTTATCTGAATGTACTTTAAGTTGTTCTCTTGTTGGCTTGCAGGGCACTCGCAGATCAGTTGGAAGGCAATGAGGAAGAACACGAGAAATATCGCAGTTTGGTTGTACAATATATAGTGGTAAGTGGCTGCCAAGGTAGAAAATGTTAATTATATGAGTTGCTGTCATTTTTTAGAAGAATTCTCACAACTTTTTTAGTTGTTGTTGCTTGTTTGAAAATTATTTTTTTTTGTTATCCTTCAGTTGCATTTGATGCCAGAACTTAGGTTTTATTGCTGAAGTATATGGTGAATTCAGTTATTATTATCAATATTGATGAGAAATGATTAATAATAAAATGGCTGGAATGAAATGAAAAGACTACTAAACTGGAAATTCAACTGGCTCGACATGGTGCCCAGTACAGGCTTGATTCTGAATTGCAATAAGCTTTGTAATTCTCACCAATGTATGAGTTTCTGGAAACAAGTGCAGAAACTACTAGTCAAGTAGACATAGGTTTGCATGATTTATGCTCAGAAAAAGATGTGCACAACCTATACGATTCTAGTAGTCATAGCTAGCATTGTTTATGCTCAGAAAAAGATGTGCACAACCTATACGATTCTAGTAGTCATAGCTAGCATTGTTTATGCTCAGAAAAAGATTTGCACAACCTATACGGTTCTAGTAGTCATAGGTATGCACAGTTTAAGATACAGTCTGTTGTCTTGAAAATCTGGGGTTGCAGTCAGGTATCTAATAAATATATTCAACTTCCCAATTGTGCTCTGAAAATTATGTTTCTATTTATTTTATCTTATTTTATTTTAACTAGAAAACACTTCAAAGTGTTTCCTATGTGCTGCATGTCAATATGAAATCTCTTTTTTTTTCTTAGATGATACTTACAGCTCCCTTCATTGATGTTTATGATAATCTGTTTGCTTTTCAAGAAGCAACTGGTTGGATGATTACTCTTGTTCTCATTTTTGAAAAATCATCTCCTTTATGAATCTTATATTGGAGCTTCAATCAATAGAAGAATCGTGAAACATTCGAGCCCTTTATTGAGGATGATGTCCCATTTGATGAGTATTGTCTATCCATGGAAGAAGATGGCACGTGGGCTGGACATATGGAATTACAGGCAGCCTCTCTTGTTACACGTTGTAATATATGCATTCACCGGGTGCGACCCTTTTTCTCTTTGATGTACTTCTGTATTTTATTATTCATCCAGATTGCTATCAAATTATCATAGCATATCTTTTTCCCTTTCTTTTGAGACTTTTAGTTCCCATGTGGCTTTGAGCTATTTGTGAGTGTTAAAGTTGAGTTTTTTTTTTTTAATTAATTAATTTATATTTACTTAGAAATCCCTTGATCTTTCTTAAATGTTTTAAGTTCTAAACTTGGGGCTACCTTGTTACTCAGGAAACTAATTGGGTATGATATCCCAAGAAGGTGGCCCCAAGGGGATTTGAAACCTTGACCTTTTAGTTGAAACTATGGGCTCTTACCACGAAACGCTAGTTGAGTTTGTTTGATCTTGCTTGGTTGTAGAGTAAACCATTAGTCTTTTCATCGGTGATTTCAACTGGTATTAGAGCGAAGGGTGTGTGTATTTGTGCTTCTCTCATATTGCCACTCTTCATGACGATGTCAAGTTCTCAGGAGGTGAGATTGTAAGCACTTGTACTGGATTGGTGTGGCCCACCCAGGTTTTACATCACTAATGCAAAACTTCAGCTACTAATTGATATTCCCCTCTGCCCCTTTCTAGTGTAAGCCACATTTTAAAACCTTGCAAACTATTTAGAAGACCCAAAATAAACAATATTTGCATTGGATGGGCATGGTTTTCATTTTAAGATGTAAACTCTCCTTCGCTCTTTACTTGATACAGATGATACTCTCTCACTGGTGTATATGCACTACTATGCATTGCATGCATTTACTGTTTATTCTGAGTAAGATGGAGATTTAAGTGTTGATTATGATCTATACAGCACATGTCACCTCGTTGGTACATTCGGAATTTTGATTCTGATGAAGCTCGTATGGTTCATTTGTGAGTATTCTAAAACTTTTTATCATGCTTGTGTTGTTCATTTGTGCTGCATTTATTCTAAATACGAAAGAGGATTTGTTTACCTTTGGCCCTCGCAATTTTTTTTTCTTACCTTAAACTTTAGCTATGTTATGGAGTATTTTAGGTGGGACACTAGTGTGTCAGACTTGACGGTTGACATTCCTCTGCCATCTTAATATTATAATTTTTTATCTGATGTCTGTTAATTTTTGTGAGAGATGAGGACATTTTATGTGAAGTTTCTCTTGTACTATAGCCAAATCCTAAAAATGGAAGCCTACTTTTGTAGCTTATATATGTTATTTGATTGTTATTCAACAAATCTTTGGATGGAGAGGTTGTTTATTTACATCTTTCAACTACTTGTAGGCTATATTCTGTTTGTTGTTTAAGCCTCAATAATTTTAACAGTCTACTTTCTTCTGTTTTCTTGATTGGTTTAGTCTCTCTCTCTCTCTCTCTCTCTCTCTCTCTTTTGAAAAAGTGTTGAGATTTTTGTGCATTATCTTTCAATTTATTCACAGTTGTCTTTTCTCTTTATGGTAGTTGTGATTCGTAATTTTGGCACAAGCTGTTCTCATTGTTATTTTTTACCTCTAGATCTTATCATGATGGAGAACATTACAATAGTGTGCGATTGAAGNGAAATTTTTTTTATTTTTTACTTTTGGTATCCAAGGGTGCCCCGTTTAACTTGCGCGCACATCAATTAAGCTCTCGGGCCTTGAAGTTAAGGGTTGGGTACATCTCCTGCAGCCACTTTTATTAGTAGTTATAGAGGTTCGAACTCAGGACCTCTTGGGTAATACACTCAAGAGTCCTAAGCAAACCGCCAAACTACCTAGAGGTAGTTATGGCTTGGAATTTGAGATGGAAGAATTCTTTAAAATTAGAGGCATTGTGCATAAAAAGAGTCGCGTTAACACACCTAAACCAAAATGTAGTTCTGGAAATAAAACATGGACATTTACTTCATGTAGTTCACATCTTGTGTTTTCAATCAGGACTTACCTAACAAATTTGACGACAACTTAAAAAAATTAAGAATACTTAAAAAAATTATTTAAAACGCCTTAAAAAAAAAAAAAAAATAGAAGCTAGAATCTAAAAAACATTGGCCAAATTCAAACTTTTAATTTTTAATTTTTTGTTTTCTTCATATTTGTGTTAATTGTTTAACTTGTTAAAATTTTTTTTTTCTTTTAAGTTTTCAATCATATTATTTTTTATTTTTCAGATATTTCTTGTACTTTCTATTATTCCAGATTCGACCTGAACGAGCATGACCTGGGCTCGATCTGAGCACATAACCAGCACGACCTGGGCTTGACCTAGGCTCGACCTGAGCACATAACGAGTACGACCTGGGCACATAACGAGCACGACCTGTACTCGAATTGAGCACATAACGAGCACAACTTGAGCTCGACCAGAGCATATAACGAACACAATCTGAGAGGTCAAAACGAGCTTAATGAGCAAAACGACGTCCATCTGAGAGATCAAAACAACTGCAAATGAATTATTTATGATATTGTGGATGAATGAAAATTTTATTATTTAAGGATTAAATTGATATATATTGGTGACTAAATGGAAGTGTCTAAATGATAGAAATATGAATATAGGGACACTATAGAGAGGGTTTTTTTTTTTTTTTTTTTTTTTTTAATGTAAAATATTTAATATCATTTTACATATAATGTGAACCTCTAAGGTTTCTTATAATATTATAAATTCTAGAAAACCACAAAGGTATCGCACGGGCAATATCTCAGTAGTCTATGTCTTTAGATCATGTGATATTATTATTTTTAATCACTTTCAGTCTTTTACAATTAATTTGATCAGTAATTTTTATTTTAAATCTTATGTGACATGCATGCATGCATTAGCCTTTGATCGATATGTTGATGTGTACTAGTTTGGTATCAAATTTTTTCTCCAATTGCTGTGTGCATGTGTGTGCACCTACCTCTTCAATGGCATGGAGTGATGGTTTACTGAAAATTTCTCTCAAACTTTCAAGCATTCAAAAGAGTAAATATTAAAGGATAGAGCCATTAACCCACAAATGATCCTTAAAATAACATTATATTAATATATAATAATAATATATATATATATATAATGCAGGCGTAGCTCTGAAGGCCGCCAGTCTTATAACCAGGTACCTGAAATACTTTTTAATGGAAGCTTTAAGGTAGTTGATAGTGGGCTGTATCTTTGGTGACATGCTAAGTGGGCGGCCTATGTTTCATTCTAATAAAAGGGGTGTTCAAAGCTTTTTAAGAAGTGATCAGGAGAAGAGTTCGAGAACACTGATTTTTCCAGTTTTGTGTATTTGTAGTGTATATGGCATGAGTTTTCTGCCCCAAAAAAACCGCAACAGAATGGAGTCGTGGAGAGAAAGAATAGAGTTCTCAAGAATGACAAGAGTCATGTTAAATGACAAAAAATTACCAACAAATTGTGGGTTGAGGCAATCAACACTACATGTCACATTGCAAACATAGTTTTTTCTAAGGAAGGTGCCTCTCAAACTCCTATGAACGTGGAAAGGTAAGAAACTTGATCCGTCCTACTTTCATGTTTTAGGTGCAAGTGCTATGTGTTGAATGATAGAGATCACCTAGGAAAATTTGACTCTAGAGTGGCAAAGATGTTTTTTTTGGATATTATGCAAATAGTAGGGCTTATATGGGTTTTCAATATGAAAACTCAACATATAATTGAATCATTTAATGTTGTTGATTCTGAAGATTTTTCGCAATTTTCCCATAAAGAAGATATTGATGAAATCTTGACTCTCAATGGTACCACTTCAAATTCTCATAAAGATGTGACCACATCAAAATCCGAAGTTTGCACATCTGCAGCTCAAAAAGGATATCTCTTAGAGAGACAAGGATCGAATTAATTGTTGATCTCTCGGATGAAATAACTAAACAAAAGACACTCAAATTTAGAGAACCACCCTCTTGGATTAAAAAGGCTCATCTACCATCAACAGTGATTGGAAATCCAGAAGAGGTAATGGTCACTAGACGTAAAAAATTGAGTGAATTAATAACCTGTGTTATGTTTCCCTTTCAGAGCCCAAAAAATGCAAAGGAGACCCTTGAAGACGACTGTTGGATTGCAGACTATGCACGGAAGTTAGAACAGTTTGAGAGAATGATATGTGGAAACTAGTTCCAAGTCCTGAAGGGATTAATTTCATTGGAACAAAATGGTTTTCAAGAACAAATCCAATGAGCTTGGGACCATTGTGCAAAACAAAGCGAGACTTGTTGCCTCGCACAAGGGTATACCCAAGTTGAAGGAGTTGATTTCGATGATACCTTTGCACTTGTTGGCAGACTTGAATCTATAAGATTAATGCTTGGAGTGGCCTATTGTATGAAGCTGAAACTTTACCAAATGGACGTGAAGAGTGCCTTTTTAAATGGAATGCTGATGGAAGAAGTTTACGTTGAGCAACCAGTAGGAGTTCAGGATCCTCACAAGCCTGATCACATGTTCAAACTTAAGAAAGCTCTTTAACGGTTGAAGCAAGCACCAAGAGCATGGTATGACAGGCTGGCCTCTCCTTCTTGATCATAACTTGATTAGAGGTAATGCTGACAAAACCTTGTTCATAAAGCAGGAAAGAGGTGAATTTTTGTGTTCTCAAATTTATGTAGAAGGTATTCTTTTTGGTTCTACTTCTCCATACTCAACTTGAAAAATTTATTACTTTAATAAAGATGAATTTGAGAGTATGTTGGGAAACTTAGCATGTTCCTTGGTCTTCAAACAAATAAATTGATTGTGGCATGTTTGTCTCCCAGTCTACTTACGCCAAAAACATGCTTAAAAGATTCAATCTTGAATCTGCCAAGATGATACACACAATGAGCTCCACTCTTAATTTCCAATGATGAAAAAGGTAAAAAGGTTGATAATAAGTTGTTTAGAAGCATGATAGGGAGTTTGTTGTATTTGACACAAGAGGCCTAATTTGTGCTTTAGTGTAGTGTGTGTGCTAGGTTTCAATCTCATCTTACTGAGCTTCATCTTAAAGCTGTTAAGAGAATCATGAAATATGTTACTGGAACATCAGATTTTGGACTTTGGTTTTCTTATGATTCTAATCCTACTCTGTGGGTTTTAGTGATGCTGATTGGGCAGGGTACTTGGATGATAGAAAAAGCACATCTGGAGGATGTTTCTTTCTCGGCAAAACTTGATCACGTGGTATAGTAGGAAACAAAACTCAATTTCACTCTCCGCAACATAAGCTGAATATATTGATGCAGGGAGTTGTTGCACACAGTTCTTTATTTGCTTGACTTTGTCACATGTGAAAGAGCTACCTTGCTTGTAGTGTGAAAGTCATAATTGAGTAATCTTTTAAGATGTAGAGACCCCTATGTTCTTGGAAGACCTACCATTTAGAGGGCTATCTCTTGCAAGTGTGAAAGCTACACTTGGTTTCTTCTGAGGAGATTTATGCCCATTACTTATCTATTACAAAGAAAAAGAAGTCAAATTTAATAAGGGGAATATGGGGGGGGGGGGGGGGGGGGGGGGGGGGGGGGTGTGTGGGCGGGGCAGGGGGGCAGCATGGGTGAAGGGGGAGTTGAATGAATTTTTTACCAATAAGTCATGCTCCCCTTTGACGACACTGCACACTGCAACACACCGGGCTTGACCTGGGTCGACCTAAGCAAATAACGAGCACATATGACGAATGAGCACATAACGGCACAACCTGAGCTCGACCAGAGCATATAACGAGCACGATTGAGAGGTAAAAACGAGCTTAATGAGCAAAATGACGTCATATGAGAGGTCAAAACAACCTCGACCTAAGGGGTCAAAACGACCTCAATGAGCCAAAACGACCCCAATCTTAGAGGTCAAACGAACTCGACCTGAAAGGTCATAACGAGCTCGACTGAGAGATCATTCATAGGTTGACCTTTGAGGAATAACAACTAATAAAACCTTTTGAATTAATTCATTAACAAGTTGTGGGGAGCATCTCTTGTTGATTCAGTTTACTGGTGTGAGATACTTCGTATTATTCATTGATTATTTCTAATGCGGTTTATTATATTTTTCTCAAAATCAAACAACCATTTAAACAAAATTTGACTCAAAAATTAAAGCCCCCCAAAGTGATTGAGGAGGTGAATATAGATCTCTCCACACAAGGTTTTTCTAGAGTATCGCTCTAACAAATAAGAGATATATGCCTTGATAAATCTATAAACATAAGTATATCTATATTTTCAATGACGTAACATTTCCTTTCAAGAATTCAATCTATCTTTTTTTCTACAGCTGAATGCCATCTCTATCTTGCTTCTATTCCGACCTACTCGCGACACTTTTCCTATGTCTCACTTAATTTTCCACACACAAATCTCTACCCCCATAGTCCATCACACCCCACGTTACAGTAACTATTATGTATGCAGCACTAAAGGTCACTAGCATCAACTAGAGCTTTAAAACCTTAGAGGAAACAAAGAAACCAGAACACCGAAACCATCTCTGAAAAATATTTCCAGGTCATGTCTTCTCGAATAATAAAAATTCATGAATATCACTATGATATTGTGGATGATTACACTAGATGCACTTTGGTATTCTTATGAAGTGTAAAAGAGAAATCCTTACTCTCACAGTCTTTTTATTCTTTTGTTGAAACTCAATTCATAAGAAAATTAAAGTTATAAATATTGATAATGATTTGAAATTTTTTTTATTTTACTTTTGGTATCCAAGGGTGCCCCGTTTACTTGCGCGCACATCAATTAAGCTCTCGGGCTTGAAGTTAAGGGTTGGGTACATCTCCTGTAGAAGCCACTTTATTATTAGGTTATAGAGGTTCGAACTCAGGACCTCTTGGATAATACACTCAAGAGTCCTAAGCAAAACCGCCAAAATATAGAGGTAGTTATGGCTTGTTGGAATTTGAGATGGAAGAATTCTTTAAAATTAGAGGCATTGTGCATAAAAAGAGGGTTGCGTATAACACATGAACAATAAAATGCAGTTCTGGAAAGAAAATAAAATGGACATGTTATTGTAGTTCACATCTTGTGTTTCAATCAGGACTTACTAATAAATTGACGACAACATTAAAAAAATATTAAGAATACTTAAAAAGAATTATTTAAAACGCCTTTAAAAAAAAAAAAAAATAGAAGCTAGAATCTAAAAAACATTGGCAAATTCAAACTTTAATTTTAATTTTTTGTTTTTTCATATTTGTGTAATTGTTTAACTTGTTAAACATTTTTTTTTCTCTTTAAGTTTATCAAATATTATTTTTTATTTTTCAGATATTTCTGTACTTTCTATTATTCCAGATTCGACCTGAAACGAGCATGACTGGGCTCGATCTGAGCACATAACCAGCACGAACTGGGCTTGCCTAGGCTCGGACCTGAGCACATACGAGTACGACTGGGCACATAACGAGCACAACTTGAGCTCGACCAGAGGCATATAACGAACACAATCTGAGAGGTCAAAACGAGCTAATGAGCAAAACGACGTCCATCTGAGAGATCAAAACAACATCGACCTAAAGGGTCAAAACGACCTCAATGAGCAAAAACGACCTCAATCTTAGAGGTAAAAATGAACTCGATCGATAAAGGTCTAACGAGCTCGACCTGAGTGATCATTCATAGGCTTGACTTTTGAGGCATAACAACTAATAAAACCTTGAATAATTCATTAACAGTTGTGGGAAGCATCTCTTGTGATTCAGTTACTGGTGTGAGATACTTCGTATTTTCATGATGATTTCTAATGCGGTTTATTCTATTTTCTCAAAATCAAACAACTCATGTAAACACAAAATTGATCTCAAAAATTTAAAGCCCTCCAAATTGATGTGAGGAGGTGAATATAGATATCTCCACACAAGTTTTTCTAGAGCATAGCTCTTAACATAAAAGATATATAGGCATTGATAATCTATAACCATAAGTCATATCTATATTTTCAATGACGAACCATTTCCTTTTCAATAATTCAATATTATCTTCTCTTGTCTACTAGGCATCGCCACTCTATCTTGCTTCTATGTCGGCCTATTCCTAGACACTTTTCCTAGGTCTTACCTTAATTGCCACCACAAATTCCTACCCCCCTACGTCATCACTACCCTCAACGTTACAGCTAATTATTAGTACTGCAGCAATAAAGGTCACTGCATAACTATAGCTTTTTTAATACCCCTAGAGGCAGAAACAAAGATAAACCAGAACACGAACCCATCTCTGCTGAAAAAATTTCCAGGTCATTGTCTTCTCGAATATAAAAAATTCATTGACTATTAACTGTGATATTGTGGATGATTACAATAGATGCACTTTTCGGTATTTCTATGAAGTGTAAAGAGAAATCTCCTTTACTCTCCACAGTGCTTTTTATTCCTTTTGTTGAAACTCAATCTTAAGAAAATTAAAAGTAATAAATATGAAATGGTTGGCACCATTGATCTGCCACCAAGACTTCAATTGCACCGCCTCCACAAAGTCAGATCAGCTTGGAAATTTGAGTTTGATTGTGCTGGAATTTGTTTAATTGAGTTTTGAAACAATTTCCTCTTTGAAATTTAGAGACAATGTGTGGATTGTGCTGGGGAGGAGTTGAAGGATTCTGGGCATTGAGAGAGGAGTTGCTTGGCATGGTGAGGAAGAAGAGAATGGAAACCAAATGACCATTTTACCCTTGACCGTTAAATTAAACGGTTTTTTAGTTAATTTAAGGGTGAGAATCTGGAATTTATAAAATCAGGTGGGAACTTGCCATTTCGCGAAAAGTTGGGTGGGAACATGTCGTTTACTTTTTCCTTTAGCCTTTCTAGTTAACACTCTGATTTCACAACATTATTTAACTGGATTTTGCAGCTTATCTCCATCGATTGACTATGTTTCCCGATATCTTTTTTTATATCCCAGCACTAACTTATGTTCGCTCGTGCTTTGTATATTTAATAGTTGCAATTATTCATAACCCACTAAATAATAATAAAAAATAAAAAAACAAAAATATTAGGTGTACAACCCAATCTTACACCTTTCTTTTATAATCTTAACATGACAGCAGAGTTGACATTACCATGTCAACAGACGACTTTGACTAAACATGAACGGTAGTTCTTTAGAAAAGAGTGATCATTTCTTAGAGACGAATGATTGTTCCTTAGGGACAAATGACTATTCATTCATAAGGAATGGTTGTTTCTTCATACGGAATAGTCGTTCCATTCATAAGGAATGATTGTTTTTTATTCCTTATAAATAAACGATTGTTCCTTCATAATGAACAATCATTCATAATGAAGGATCGGTCGTTCGTCCTTAAAAAATAACCGTTTGTGTTTAGTTAAAGTCATTTAGTGTCTTGAGTGTGATAGGAACTGACATGACAGTTACCAATTCAGTTATCATATTGGGCTTGTGAGATTAGATTGTGGGCATAATATTACTCAAAAAACAAAATTATTGTGTTGCTAATAAGCTGTTCTAGTGTTC